TCATCTAATAAAAAAAACTTTCCCAAAACTTAAGAAGTTTTAATAAATTTAAATTTCTTTGCGGAATTGAAGTCTAAGATTCAGTTTTTGCATTTATTTAAGTAAAATTAGTATAAAAGTGTTTATTATTTATTATTTTCATATCAATTCTGAGCCACTGTTATAAAAAAATTGTGCCCCGCCTTCCCCGATACGTAGAATCCGAAAATCCAATTTAAAAAAATTGGGTATCGAAGCTAGAGGTACCTGAAGATGATCCTCCCAACTCGAGATTATGTTATCCCATAAATTCTTTTCCTTTTCTTTATTTGTTGTCCAAGGTTGATTTACTGTGTTATATATGAACCGTTGTGCTCTATTACCTCTTCCATCTCTCAGAAAGCCTCATATATACATTTTTCAAAATTGTTGTGACTTACTTGCAAAATATTCACCGAGATGCGCTTTTATTCGCTTTCGGATTTGTGACGTCTATCACGGAGGAAATTTTTTAACGAAAGAAACAGGTAATAATCGGATGGGGCGAGGTCTGGGGAGTACGGATAATGAGATAGAATGTTCCAATCAGGCTGTAATAGTTTTTAATAAGATATAACGAAATTACCTAAAAAAAAAATCATCAATACTACTCATTTTTTATTTACAACTCGAAACCTTTATATCTAAGAATTAATTTGATATCTTAATTTTTATGGTAAAAATAAATAATAAAAAACTATTAGGAAGGCAATTTTTGTTATTATTATGTGGCAAGAACTGAGTGTGGAAAAAAACCATCTGCAGAGTAGTGCAGAATCCATTATTTTTGACTCATTGGGAATCCTACACCACCATCTGTATTAATTATGGATGCTTAAGTGGACTCAGCGGAAAAAAAGTGAGAGAGAAGAAAATAAGAAGTTATAACAGTGATTGGATGAATTATAATATCCGGTACGGTGTAGTGTTGCCCAAATGCGAGACAGAGACGAGTCTTTGTCTTGCATACTCAGTCTTGGTCTTGGTCTTGGTCTTGGTCTTGCGCAAGAGTCTTGTAGTTACCTATCAGCTTATTATTGTAGAGATATTACTGTCATTTTTTAGATAATAGAAATCTAACTAAGCCCGAAAAAAATTTAGAAGAGTTAAATGCTAAAGTATAAATTGCATGAGTATATAAGGTTATACATATAGTAACTAAAATTGTCAATTATAAGTAAATATTTCGCCTTATTTTTTAAAAATCTATTATTTTTTGCCAGTCTCAGTCTTGGTCTTGCAACAGCTAGGCAGTCTTGGTCTTGTTTTAGGCAATTTTAGGCAAAATCAGTATGATGATGGTATCAGTGGATGATGGTCCCGTAATACTTTATTATATGTGTTCCCTTTTGTTAAATGGTATCGATTTTGACTGATTAGTATGCTGAGTGATTTAGCAACTCAACACAGTTGAGCAGCAGTACAATTTGTTGTGTTTTTCTCTTTTCTCCTAGAAATGATGAAGAATGTTGTACCACTCGAAACAAATATTCGATGCATAACTTTTTGGAAGTAATAAAAATAATAGTGTAATTGATTGCACAGTTTTAGTTATTTATTTTATTTATTGATCTATACTATTAATGTCAACAGTGTTACCTTGAATTATTTAACAGATGCAGACTGAACTGCATTGATTATGGGCTATTATCCTCCGTTCGACCGCTGCCAATTGGAAACTGTAGCGGACAGGCAGGTTGTGCCCTGAGTTGAGTGTAAATGAATTTCCCATGCTCTCTCTGTCTGGTATAACTGGTACTGGTAGTTGGAGTCCAGTCAGCGGGCCACTAAGTACCTCTTAGGTAACAGGTCTCTTGTCCCCAGTCAAACAAACAACAACAGTTCACTGCTAATTGAACTACTTATGTTCTCCATTTTAAAATATATGAATAGATAAACATGGGGTCAATTATAAACATCTGAAATAATGCAATTAGTCAAGACACCGTTTAAAAAATAAACAAATCGTGAGCAGCAGAGCTTCGCCACTGAGGTCGTATTCTCTCCTCCATTTTGTTAAAAACAAATAAGAACTTGTTTTAATTTGTTTATTAATCCTTATCTGAGGAAATTAAACAGAACAACAAAACAACAGAACAACAAAATCGAATATACTAATGAGTTTCTTTAACATTTTTAAATCTGTATTCGAGTTTTACCGAAAAGTCGGTCACGTGAGAAAATGTTGATATCTCTCAAAGGCACCTCTTTAACACCAACTTATATACAAAATTTCCAATCCGTGTCTCTATTTGAATGGAAATGGAGAGATGCTCCAAATCGCAAAAAATAATTGAGTGTGTCGAAGTTTTGACAAAATGTAAGCAAACTTATTTGGATTTGTTCTCTATAAAATATAACAGAGGAAACCAATAAGATAAACGTTTATATGAGGCATCACCTAAAACCCCATATTCTTGTTTTTGGATCCAATACTTCACAAAACTTAAATTCGCAAAAAAACTGGTAAAATTGTCCAGTTTTTTTATTATTTTTTTAAACAATCACATCTTCATTGAGTGCTTTAAAATGTTGACACAACGTCACAATCGAATTCAGGAATGTTTCTATGAACATTTCATTATCATCCGGCCTTTATTTTCGAAGTCGTGGCTGAAAAACGTAAGTCCCAATTGGCTGTGGCGCCAAAACGTTGACAAATAGCTAAAAAGTACACAGCTTTTGGTTTATTAAACCCATGAGTATCTGAAAGCTTCCAGAAAATTATGCTCTCAATATGGACCGTCGCTTTCGTGTAGGATGAAGACAGCTTTAACCACTTGCGGATCCAGGATTTAATTTTGGGGAGGGCTTCAGCCCGAAATTACTTTGGAAAATAAGAAAGAAACTAAATACCTATATGAAATGGTGTTTAAGTGATTCCTAAAGTTCTTATAAATGTAATTACGAGATACAATAACAATTTAAGAGATAATTTTTATATATTTTTTCCATAAAACATGGTTATGTTTTACCATTTGGGGGGGGCTTCAGCCTCAAAGCCCTCCCCTCCCTAGATCCGTCCATGGCTTTAACCGTAGACGAGGGTGGCTATCGCTTCCCCAATAAAAATGTTTAGGGGGCGAGAATATCGTCTCACCTCCCCAATAAATGAAGTAAAAAAAAATTGTTAACAAATAAACTACATGAATGTATAAAATATGTGAACTAAAATCGATTAAGAAAATTCGACTAAGGCCTATTAGTAGATGCGTAGCTATTTTATCAAAACTTAAATATTCCTATTTATTAAATTTTCATTTATATTCTAAGATGATTATACAGAAACATTTCCTCGGATTTTATGATTTATTCGTTCCCCCCCCCCATGTGGACGATTCCACATTTTCACGTGATTTTCTTATAAATTTGGAAAAAATATATTTAATAAGTATAAATATATTTTATAGAAAATATTTGTATAGACATTATACATAAGTAGTTAGACTGTGATAATATTGTATTTTTATCTTAAGGTTATTCAAACTAAGAAATCAAAAATATTTTTAGGTTTTTTACCATTATTCATTTTTAGCTGGATCAGTTATAGAAATGATAAAGAAACCTGTGTTATAAAGGCTCTGTCCCCCTTCCTTCCATATTTAATGGATACAAACCCAATAAATCCATTTGTTTTATTCAAATATTTTCAAGTATGTCCATATGCAACTAAAGAAAATTCTACAACTTCCAAACAAATATATAAATTTATTTTTAAATATTAAATATTACATTTCCTCGTTTCACAATAATTAAATTGGACATTCACGCATAATAGGAACTACTGCCTTTTGTTTTATTTATTTTTTTTTCTGCGGCTTTGGCTCTAACACACACGAAATGAGAGTTACGGTAAACTGTGTGGCTCAAATCAATCGATGAAACATTGATATTGTATCGTAAAATATTTTGAAGAGTATTTTACATCCAAATGATGATGTTTGAAAAAAAAAATCGCTATAATTTTATATTTCTTTATTTGGCAGAAAATACATGATTTTTTTTTCTTTTCTTTTACTTACAGAATTTTCTTATTCAGAATTCCATTTACCTTAACATGGTGCTACCTTTACCATAAAAGAAACAAATACTAAGACTAAACAATAAAAATAAAAGCAAAACAAAATAAAAATATAAAGATAAATTCTGGGTTAGTGTCCCCAGGTCACTATAACGCGTTGTCGGTAAATCAACTTATAAATAACAACTAGATTGAGATACGACAAGAAATCGCTCGACGTTTCCGACTACTCCAACACTTACTAGACAAACGCTCTAAGCTTCCAGTTAATTACAAAAGACTCATATACATGACTGCAATAAGACCTATTTGGACTTAAGGAGTTAAGCTTTGGGGCTCCACTAAGCCATCGAATTTCTCTCGTATCCAACCTTACTTTGTCACCAATAAAATAATCCATAATGACCTTATGTTTCCGATTTGGCCCAATCCAGATACCAATCCTTCCATAATAAATTTCAGAACCATCCGAATCCTCTCGTCTCTAACCTTGCTTCCTCTTCTGTCCCTGATAACCCTTCGAGGTGTCTGAAAAGATGATGGCCTCGAGATCTCCTGTTGTAAATACATTTTTAGAGTGCTACCAGTGGGTAGTTTCTCAACAAGTGATTTCATGTTATTATTTTCTGTTATCAAATTTACTGAATGTATTTTATTTATTAATACAGTTGTAAATATCATGAATCAATAAAAAAAAAAAGATTGATTGCAGTTAATGATCGTTGGTAGGAAGCCTTGACATGAACTAACGTTTCCTCTTGAGGTTTGGAAAACAGGACTCCGCTCAACGCGAACGGACAGCTACGCCTTACATGGAGCCGGCAGTTCCACTAATCCATCGCCATATCCCTCAGGGAATGCAGACAATTGCGATATAAATCTATTAGTCTATTAGCGGACGATAGACTGTGTCTACAGGGGGTGATCAGTGAGAGCTGGCCTGGCGTAGTGGAGCTGTGTAGTGGGGGCATGCCCACCGCTCAGTTCAGTGCCGGATACCCTCTTGATCGGAAGGTCAGTCCGCGAGTACTTCCATCCATCTTCCTACACGATCTTCTTCTTCGTAGATCTTCGCATGTAGCCGCCCGTGTCTTAGGATATCCTCCACGAGGCTCTCAAGCTACAGTCTACAATGGATTCTCGGGTGAGCCTCAGTATAGCATGTAAATGTGTTTTCTTTCGACGATATACAAACAAATATATTGATTATATCTGTGCCCTGGAGGGCTTATTATTATTATTGATTATTCTAGTGACTAAGAAACAAATTTTAATAACTTCAAGTAATGAAACTTTGCTCCCCGAACAAATACAAAGATGTGGCAAGTCGCTCTTAATCTCCGGGGTACAGATTTAGTAACTAATTTTAATAGTTCAGAGTTATGGAAAATTGACTCGCCTGAACAATTACAAAAATGGAGATGTTATATTCAATGACTATTCTGTGAATAGCTTTTACTAGATAAAAAAAATATTTGCTTCTTCAACTTGTTCTAATATTATAAAACATAATAGTTAGTTCCAAAAATTAATAGAGGCTATATTACTTTAAAAATCAAATTTTATGTTTAAAAATGGTTTTGATAATATTTTTTTAATCATTTCTCAAGTTGTATTAGTATTTTCTCTAATTTAAGATATATTAGTTATATTCAAGCAATTGAAAAAAACATTAGATTTATTTTCACACAGTACTGACAATAGACAACCTATTAACATTGAGGAATTACAAAGTATCGAACTGAAAAAACAGACATACACATCTTGGAAAACAAAGAATGAAATTAATTAATGTTCTTTACCTTCGGGGTACAGATATTAAAATTATTTTTTATGATATCTATAATTTTTTAAAATCTAAATTCAATTTCTCGAGGACAATCATAAAGATTTTTGTAAAGGTGAATTCAATTGGTTATAGATATTATTAAATTAACAATTTTTTTTAAATATTTACCAAATTTCTGAACAACTATCATTCTTATATTTAAAAAGTACTATACGATGCACAAAATCATCATTTTTTATTTGAATATTATCTGATGAAACTGACCTCCATAATTGTAAAATTGATAAACAATGAACTCAGTTACCTACTCATAACCAACTAGAAACCTATATATTGAAATGCCCGGGACTTTAAAGAAAACTGAAATGACTATTCAGTAAATAGAATTTACTATATGAAAAAATTTTTTCTTCTTCAACTTGTTCTAATATTATAAAACATGTCGGTTCCAAAAATTAATAGAGGCTATATTGCTTTAAAAATCAAATTTTATGTTTAGAAATGGTTTTGATAACATTTTTTTATTAATTTCTCGAGTTGTACTAGTATTTTCTCTAATTTAAGATATATTAGTTATATTCAAGCAATTAAAAAAAAACAAAAAACATTAGGTTTATTTTCATACAGTACTTACAATAAAAAAACCTGTAAACATTGAGGATTTACAAAGAATCGAACTGAAAAAACATACATCCACATATGTAAACAGGTGGAAAACAAAGAATTAAATTAATCGGGTCCTTATTTTTTATTCTGGTTAAAAAAAATAAATAAAATGTTTGTCTTGATTGAAGTGTAAAATAAAAATAAAACGCCTTACAATTGCTTCCAAATTGCTTAGTTGCTCGTTCTTCGTTCGTTAAATCTACAAGTGCGTGGTGTATGATTTGTATTTACCAGTCCCGAGAGTTGGAACATTCTGGTGGTGGTATATCGTCCGGCGAGTGGTTATTAAGTTTCGAAGCGACTGTTAATTATTTTGTCATCATAACACCTCACCACGATTCTTGAGTCTGTAGTTTTGGTGTATATAAGATATATATATTTATTTATACTTGTAGATGATCCATATAAAATCGTGTGATCCATGTATAAACTGAAAGACTTACGTTTTTATTTGTACAATATTACTTTGGCCTTATTGTCTTACAATATATAAAATCTAAGAATATTGGTTATAATCAACTCAAGAAATCATTAAAATAAAATAAAGCTATCAATGAATATAATTAAATTAACTTATGAAGAAAAAAAAAACCCAAGCACATTATTTTCATCTCTGACTAGACGTTTTAGCAAGTATATATTCAAGAATGATATGGTATGGCACTTGCTTGACTACCTCCAAACAAGCCCTGATAAATGCTTGAAACTTAGGCCGAAACGTAGGTAAAAATTTTAAAAAATTGTTTATTAGTTGTTCGATAAAAAATTTTATCAGTTCACAACAAACTGTATATTGTCGTTATATTGCAGTAGTGCCCATCTCCCCAAGGCCCATACCCCCTTCCACGAAATTTTATTGCTCTTTCTTCTTAAAATGCAGAGCAAGAAAGAATATAATTATTACTCATGTACAATTACACTTGATGTTGTCAGGTTCATGTTTTTCTCCTTGTGTCCTCCATCTCTTCCCCTTTTGAAACTTTTCACTATGATAATTCAATTTTCGAAATGTACTCCCGTAAAATTCAAAATCCCATCAAAATTTTCAATGTGCGCCATAAAATCGCTTTCTGGGCACGCTTGGTATATTGCAAAAAGTCACTTACATCAGTACATTTATGATGGAGTTAAACTTTTCAAGAACGTTTATATGAATTTCTTGACCTTTTCGATCCAAAAATACAGTGAATGCGCCAAAATGGCACATAGCCTTTTATAACTCAAAAATAACACAATGTTCTTATTTCACAGAGGAATAACTCATTAAAATAGTTAATGACTTAATTTGATGAAATATTACTTAATGGCTGTTTTTTTTTAAATCCACAATATTTAACTTGTGGGAATAATCTGAATTTATTATTTACACAAGTAACGTTGAGCGATTCCAGCTAAATAGCATTATTAATCCTAAACAATGCCAAATGCCAACGTGTTCATGTAATATATAAATACCTCCTCGTTTCCTAAACAGACGCTCTGTAATCATGAAATAACATTTTATGAATGCAATTTCGATAAATAAGGATGGTGATTCCTAATGTTTAAGTTTTAATTTCAGGACTCAATATATACTCTATATTATTCTTTCTTAAGTTAATTTTTTATTTTTTATTTTTTTTGTGTTATTACAATCCTATTTATTCCTCATAGGATTGATTTTTTATTTATATATATTGAAGATAGTATATACATTGAATGAATTTTTGTTAATGTAGTTTTATGGTGTTTTATGGATGATAGTTATAAGGCTACATATAAATATGGCTTCTGTTTATTTGCACATGATTGTTATTCATAAGGGAGCTCGTCCCATAACAAAATTTGTTTCTGTCAATATAACAAAAAAAAATATGATTCTCCAACCCACAAATAACCAAATTGAAAAACGTCATGATCGATACTCAAACCGGAAGGCTTCATTAATAAGGCATTCTTAGTTCGATTGTTGATTTTAAAATTTTAATATTAAAATTACCTACTAAATTAGTTACGTACTAAACCATAAAATAAAAAATATTATTTTTTTGGAAACAAATATAGATTCAATTTACTCTTTGTTTTTGTTTTATTTTGTATTAATAAAATACAAATTATTCATTTTTAATTACTAAAATATTTGTATACATAAGATCAAAACAAATAGCATTCCCATAAATTTACATACATTATACAAATATTTTTAAATATGGTAGTGAGGTAGCTCAGGGAGTTAATCAATGACTTCCAATTATCCAGATCCTTGGTTCTAGTCCGGCTGTGGCAGGTAATTATTTATTCTGTTACATCAGTCGTGGATCGACCCTGGGATCAGGACATCCTCTGAGGTACATCAGCCTCTGTAAAATTGGTACTTATAATTAAATAATTAATTATGGAGGAGAAAATCTGGGGGTTGAGCGTGATCTCGACCCAATCATCATCTTGCACAAACGTTGGCCTTGAAAAATCCTAAGCCCAAAGAGCTGAACCCAAGACCCTCCTTGGATTGTGCTGGTATAGATTACATTTGTGTACATATTTTAAATTAATTACATATATCCTGAGGACTAAGGGAGTATTTGTCTACTATCGCATTCAATGCCTTCTATAGCGATCTCTAATTAATGAAGGTAGTTTTGCCTTGTGAGGAGTACAGTCATGAACTAATAAACTGTACTTTCTTTATCAATGAATTGTTACTTTAATGACACGTTAACTATTCAATTAGCCTTTCTCTAGATATAGAGTCTGTCCGATTTTTAGGACCTTTATTATAACAGAGCAAATTTTGGATTTAAATTTAGTTCAAATTCCGGCTGGAAATTTATTTTTCGATATATAGCCGTGGTCATAGAAATTGCATTTCTTTTGAATGTTATGTTGACAAGGTTGATTCTATTGAATGTTTTTGTTTTTATATACTTATTTAAATTACAAGAAAAGTTAAACAATGTTTCTCAGTTCAGTTCTAAATAATGCCAGGATAAAAGCTGTAAATATGACGAGTTTCAAACAACTGTTCTCGTCAGAAAATATTAAAATTGTGACAAGGGAAGACATTTTCAGGGGAAATAGTGAAGATGAAAGGACACTACTAATCAAGTAGTCATAGTTTTGAAGAAGAAAAAAAAATCTCAGGGCACCATGGAGCTAAAGAAAGAAATTGGAAGAAGAAAAAAAAAACGATCAATTTGACCGCTTAATTGTGCGATTATTTTTAGAATATCGCTGCGAAACTGGCAAAGAAATATTCAGAGATCTTGCAGATAACAATCTAGTAAATAAAATAAAATTTTAAGTGGATGATGTAATTTTAATGGGTGATGCAAATTCTGTGACCACTACTGTACTTTTGAATTATACTAAATGGAATCGTCTGCACGACTTTGCATTATGAAAGCTTTTTTTTTTGTAGTAAACAGATGTAACATCAGTATGTAATGGATGTTAGACTACTTGATGTTCTTTCCTTGTAAAATTTATTCTATAAACGTATGCTTAAAGTGAAATTCTGCCAAGTTTGTGGATGCAAGATGTGCCAACCTATGCAACAACCTAACTATGCAATTCAACAGCGAGAGCCAGTTTTCAGGATTACGTTTATCATATTAAACGTCTGATGAAATAAAAATACAAAGAACAAACACATAGAAAAGAATAAAAAAATAAATAAAATAAGAGCATCTTTATTTTCAAGAATAACAAAT